AAGTTGAGAAAAACAGAAACTCTTAGTTACAGAGGTGGACACACACACGCACACATTTTACGCATTCAAATTTTACCATGAACAATGGAGGAACATTCCACTTTGCAAGCCCTTGGTGGAACCACTTCAATCATGCAACCTTTGCGTGGAGGTCGACCAATACAATTCCAAGTGCCACTTCTCTGGCTGATTCGAAGCAGTAGAAGTACTAGCGGTACTAGCATTGACATCTTCTCAAGTGAGGCATAAACGATTCAGGAACGATGTGTGCGATCCTACATCAAATCATCACACCCAGTCATCATTATACCTGAGCCTAAACTTTCGCCTAAACCCAATAAACTTGGACTGCTTCAATCACTTCTTATCAGTCTTCCAATCACGAAACCAGACCAAGATGCCCAGAAATGTGGTACATCCCGCCACAATCATCTCCAGATAACAGGCTCCAGGGACCACCACCTAGAGACCAATGCTCCAGGTTCACGGTCGGTGGACCCTGGAGTGACTCACTGTTTGACTCGGTCCTTCGGAATCCTTCGGAGTCCTCCTCAGCAGTTGACCCCCAAAACTTCTTGTCTTTCACCCAAAAAGCTTCTAGGCCTACATCTTTTTGACAAAAGTGATACAAACAAACACGCAGCGAATCAAACGGATATTTCTGGATGCTCCAATACCTCTCCCAAAGGGTCACTGGTCTTCTCTTCCAAGTCAAAAGCTTGGGATGACTTCAACTCCATCTACACACACACACACACCTTTTGCTGCCTCCATCTCTCGGGATGTGGTCCACATCTAACTTTCAATCCGGCCTCTCCATGGACAATGTGATGGGACAGCAGCGCCAAGACGTGACCACCGAACTGGCGCCCGAACACCGTGGCGCCATCCGCGCGCACCGTGCGGCGCCGCAGCAAGGGGTGGCTGGCTTCGCGCCAAGGATAGGCCTCGAGGGGTTGCTGCTTTAGAGAGGGACCTACCCAAGCACCCTAAACCGTGTTTAGAGCTGCTAATGCATGGCTGCATGACGTTGATTTGTATGATCAAGTGCTTCTCAAATATTTTTCTTTGTTGAGGTTGTGCAAAATTCTGTTTGTTGAGGCTTCGATCCATTTTAGCATGAACATGGTCAAGGTTGCGACAGCATGTGGTCAGCATGTCAGTTGCCAAATTGAATGGCTTGGGGATCCTGCGCGCACCAAAGGACCCTTTGTGTGCCCCCTTCCAAGATTTAGGGAGGTTGAACTTCTTTCTTGGAATCTCCAGTGTCTGCAGCAAATTGGCTTGTCATGGTTTGTCTAACAAGGGGAGACTTCCCAAGCAGCCCAAGCGACAAGGGTTCCACTTCTCCCACCGACTCTTGAAAGTAACACTTGGAGTCAAGCAAATATGTGCCCAATTGGAGTAGCGTTCACGTCTCTTGGATAAACTAGATCGTTGAGACTAGTAAACATGGGTCGTACTTTTTTGAATACGATAAACTATAATCCAGAAGTGCATAATCCAGAAGTGCAAATACGATAAACTTGGATGAGGACAGAAGTTAAGCTTTTGCCGGAGGGCATTCCAACATAGCCGGCCGAAACACCTGGAAACCTCTAGACTTTAGTTGATGGGCAAACGAAGGGACGTGGAAGAACTCCAAAAATGCCTTGGTATGACTTGATCGACAAGTAGTCTCAGGAACACCATCATGGTCAAGATGCAAAACCACCAACTCGCTACGTGGAGTCGAGAACTCCAAACGTCCTCACCTTACCTTCCCAATACACTGTGTGAAAACTCGCCTGGCGCTCCAACAGTGGTGCCGCTGCTGGCCGCTCGGCAGCATCTGCAGATGCACCCGATGTGCTGGAGGCGCCACATGCTTCAGCGGCCTGTGCTGGAGGCAGATTCTTAAATATGTCATACACAGAAGACCAGTTGTGAAACAAACTCATTGATTTGTAGATCTATATTCCCCCAACACATCAAACCATCATGTGCAACTTTGGAGAACACCTATCCTCCACAAAGTCATGAAGAGGAGTTCCCGTGTCTGCTCCATCTGAGCCACTTCCCCGCTGGAAAACTCAGAGAAGGAGAAACCGATTAGGTGCGAAGGTGGACGTGTTGTAGCAATGTTCGGTTTCACTTGTTACCTACTATGGTGAAATCTGGACATATTAGGCGGCTAATATATATATATGTAATAATAACAACAACACACACACACATATATATATATATATGTAGTTGATTCTAAGCAAGGGCACCATGTTGTCAACTTCTTTTTCGGGCTACTGCTGCTACTACTAATACGACCTTTGAGCCCGAGGGTGGGAGTTGGTCATCACGAGCCTGTGGATCTATGAGGGACCCCAAAAGCGACTAGTAAAGCGGAAATAGAACAACGCCAATGGTTGGAGATCTGCCAATTCTGGTGCATATGATACATTCTTCACACACTTAGGATAGGGTGTACTGAACTGAAAGCAGTGCCACACGCCGGCCTAGGGTACCAATTCCTAAGGGTACAGGCAAGGAAACCTGAAAAGGAAGTGGAGGTCCATCAAGTTCAGCGTGGCCATCTAATCTAAAGGAGCCATCGAACGATCGACCGACAGAATGACGTCGTCCGCTCACATCTGCAAGTCAAAACCAAAGCCCTATGCGTGACTGCCGAGAGCAAACCGGTGCAAAGGCTGGATTTCTTGTTCTAGTTACAAGCAGGGCCCACGATGAAATTTCTCAAGTAAAACTGCAGGTACGTCACTGGACGTCTCCAGTGATATCAGTACTGCCACAGAAGCCTCTTCGTTGGACTGTCACTTCTGTGGGGTAGCACGCCTCCCCGAGGGAGGCAAATAGAATTAAGGCTAGGACGGTTGTGTAAATGTGCGCGCGGCAAAGACAAAAGGATGAAGACATGAGAAGGAGGACAAGACGGGACAAAAAGGTGTGTGGTTGCAATGAAAGAGAAACCAAGTGCACAGGGACAACCGATGAACCCCACCTCATTGTAAAGACCTGGGCGACCTGAAACCTGTTTAAAATGTATGTAGAAGTGCAAGTACACACTAAGGCCGGGACCAATGTGCGCGCAAACGAAGAAAAGGATGAGATGACCAGACATGAAGGCAGGAGGACATGAAAGAAAAGAGGAAACCAAAGGTGTGTAAAGGGGGAAAGGGATGAAAAGGGAACCAAATGGAGAGGACGAGAACCGATGAAGCCGAACCTCATTAGAAACACCTAGGAAGACCTCGCCTCGTTTGCATGTGTACGCGGTGTGTGCACCTAAGAATGGGACAGGTTCTACTGAACCTTGAGCAAGCTTTGGTCGCTGCGACCACGTACGGCCTGCCCAGAGGCTGCCACCTTTGACCGCTCCGGTCACGTAAAGGCATGAGCCAGCTTGGAATTCAATAGTTCAGCAAACCTTGGCAAATAACTTTGGCCTAAGCCTACTTTGTCCGCTGCGGACTACTCTGGTCCCGGGCGCAGGGACGAAGACAAACCCCCGTTCGACGGGTGTACGGGAGGCACTCTGCGGGCTCACCCCGGGCTGGCACGAGGCCAGACACACTTAGGATAGGGTGTACTGAACTGAAAGCAGTGCCACACGCCGGCCTAGGGTACCAATTCCTAAGGGTACAGGTAAGGAAGCCTGAAAAGAAAGTGGAGATCTAATCTAAAGGAGCCATCGAACGATCGACCGACAGAATGACGTC